CACACAGTACCTCGGCCTCAACATCCGAGAAGAAGAAGATGCGATCTACCTCAACGCCGCGAAATATGCCGACACCATCGCCAAACGCTTCGCTCTCACACCAGCCGCCATCTCCACGCCATACCGCTACACGACAGGAACCGAGAAGGGACGATCCACTCTACTCAAACCAGCCGGCATACGCGACTATCAGAGGAAGCTCGGATGCCTCCTCTTCGCAGCCGTCACTTGCCGTCCCGACCTCTCATACTCCGCAAGTCAACTCGCCACCTACCTCAAGAGGCCTGAAGCAGAACATCTGGCGGAACTTGACCGCGCTCTTCACTACTTCATCAGCACCGCGACGATCGGCCTAACCTACCACAAGAACGCAGCTACACCAACTAAGCTAATCGGCTATGTCGACGCCGATCACGCCGGCGACTCCGACAACAGGCGCTCACGTACCGGCTACGTCTACCGCCTCGAACCTATCGGACCTATCTCCTGGCAGTCGAGCAAGCAGGAGTTAATCGCGTTATCATCAGCTGAGGCAGAATATATCGCACTCTGCTCAGCCACCAAGGAAGGCCTTTATCTTCGCGAGCTGCTGGAAGAAGCAAAGTTAGCTGAGTTACCCAACTTCACCCTGTTCTGCGACAACCAGTCTGCAATTCGCATCGCCAACAAGAACGGCTTCGCGAACAGGACGAAACACATCGCCCTGCGTTACTTCTTCGTGAAGGACGAGATCGAGAAGGGGAGACTTCAGCTGTCATACTGTCCCACGTCCGAGATGGCAGCCGATTATTTGACCAAGAAACTCGGAAAGCAGAAATTCGAGTACTGCGTGTTGCTGACTGGACAAAGCCACGTCATCAAGAGCGACACTCCAGAAGCGAAGGGGAGTGTTGGAAACAATAAATTGTAAACGCCTCTGTCGTGTCGAAACACCACACCAGAAGCGAAGCACGCCATGTCGAAGCACCCGCGAGTCAACCCTCGGAGGTTAAAAGAGGTTGCTGGAGGTTACGCGAAAGTCAAAGGTCAAGCGACCTTTGACCTGACAAATACAGCGCGACAGTTAAGGACACACAACTGACTCGTTACAGAGCAGTTGCCCGAGTCGTACTGTATCGAACCGCAACAGCAACAGTAAAGTAGTTACAAACTGCATCCTTTCATATTCCTTGTATTATTATATAATCTTGTACTTCCTTGCTATAATCAATCTACTTTGCCCTCACATACCAGCGCAAGGTGGTTCACAAACTTTTGTTAAACGCTTCCGCTATTACAACACTATCCATCCAGAGTTCTCCCTTGAAAGATCCTAAGGGGCTATCTCAGCCCAACAGCAGCAACACGCACGTACAAGCTAGGCCATAAAATCACAAGGATTCACATAGTATCGAATAATGGCGGCCGATAACGGGGAAACCATTTCCGTGTGATGCATTGTGCTGTACGCATTGGAAGCAGTCACATTGTCAGGAGGGACGATATGAAGGTATGAAATCAAATACATCAAAACACAAAACCATGTGTGTTATAAGATATACAAATATTATCAGATGAAGAACACAGTGACTCAGCCCCACAGTGATAGCAACGAGTCTGCTTCGAGCCCCGTCAGAAATCCACATTCTCGTCGTAAATCTCAGCTAGCGTTTTGTCGGCTTCCTTAGAGCCCGAGTTCGGGGAAAAGAGTTGTAAGGTTGTTGCGTCGTCGCCGTACGACCCACGTTTTGTCGCACATCTTCTGTGTGCGACCCGCCGACCACTCATTTCACGAAAGCTCGGTAGTAGATGACGGAACATTCGTAGAACGACCTAGCATGCGACGGTCAAAGGTGTCGCGCCCCGTGATTTACACGGGGAAATTCTATTTCCCGCCTGGAGATGCTGTACTTCGCGGAAGGTCCGGCCAACCGGAATTCCAGCGACCTCATCCATCAGCCAAATTCGTTCGTCAAACAACCATCGCCTAGCAACGACCTGGATGCATACAAAAGGCGAGATGAGGAGGAGATTTCAACACAGCAAAACACACTTCAATTCTTTCAATCACGCAAGTTTTCAATTGGCAAGCGCAGTTCAGCCTTTTTCGACAGCCGAAGGTGAACCGATACAATACCAGCTTCCGATAGCCTGGAACGTTTGTTCGAATGGATTCCCTCATTTCTCGCTTCGCACCCGTTGCAATTGCCAAGGAATTCCTAGAAACCGACATGGAGCAGCTGACGAGACCCGACATTTGCGATCGTCAAAGCAAGGTTACTCCCGCGAAAGGCCTATTTCTTCCAACCCACAGTTTCGGAGGGAATAACGTGTGGAGCACTGTCCCTTCGAAAGAAACCCCGCACAGCGGCACGAGTTCGGACGACCACGAATACGCTAATGCAACCAGCAGCGTTAAAAGTCGTCGTGCCAAGCTCGAGATTGACGTGAGCGACAGCATTAGCGACTGCAGCGAAGTGGGCGACGAGAACGACGATTCGTCAGGTTTCTCAGATGCCGCGAGCGACGATTCGTCGGACGATACCTGCTCCAACGCGTCAACATTCTCCTGCTTCTCGCCGCGCTCCGCGGCCTCGACTGGCGACGCATCAAACGGACGCGCATCGCCGCGGTCCGTGCTGCGGCAATATCGCGCCTCGCATCATCGGGAAGTCGACATTGGCAACAATTGTTTTGACTCAGAGAGGCGCCCGCGGACTGAAACCCTAAGCGAAGCCCGCGGCGCGTGTTCTTACCTTCAGAAAATGGAGGAGATTGAGCTTCCGGACGACCTGTACACACACGAGATCCCCGTCTCCTTCGCCAAGCTCCAGCACAACACATTGTCCGCAAATGCTACGCGGAATGCTTTCTCCTCTAATAAAACGGGTCGCATGGGCGCTCTGGGTCAGCCCACTGGCTTCCCTGCCGTGCACGTGACAGGCGCTCCTGTGTTCCCGCCATCTTATCATGGTCCCGTGGGATTCCCTCCCCAGCTTCTAGTGCAGCAGCAGATGAACCAGATGTACTGGCAGCAGATGCACCTGAACCAGATGCACCTGAACCAGATGCACCTGAGCCAAATGCACCTGAACCAGATGCACCTGAACCAGATGCACCTGAACCAGATGCACCAGAACCAGATGCACCAGAACCAGGCGCGGCTTCAGCAGACAATGTACATCCAGCAGCAGCAACAGAGGGAGTGGATGGAGCAGCAGCACAAGCATTTGCCTGTGGAGATTGAGAGGAATGGAGGAGAGAGGAGGAGGTTCCAGCCACCACGATTCCTCCAGCCTCAAAGCGCTGCAGGCACTGGGGTCTTTATTCCCCCCCAGGCATGATGGACTAGTATAGTATATACTGGCTGAACTATTGGATGCTGCTGCTGGTTACCATCTACACAATACATCTGGTAACCATCAGCAGCATACCAATATCATGAGACTCTGTTTCTTGTGATGGTGGTAATGTGCTTGTCCTGTTTGGTTTAGAATCTACGCCAGGGGTCTAGCGCAAAATCATGCATATTTGAAGCAAAATAATGAGCTAATCTTCCTATAATTATTTTGTGTAATGTGAACTTTGTATTTTGGCTGAAACAGTTCTGCTAGCGAAGTGTTCTTTGCTGCACCGAGAGGACGCAGCTTGCCTGATTGGCCATCGCCACCGTGGCATGAAATTTGCGGCTCCTGCAAGGTTGTCACTGGCTGGGAAGTGCCTTTGAGCAGAACCGTTTCCACGTGGAACTAGAGGGCCACATGCACAGGCCCAGCCCAATTCATCCGAATTTCCGTGAACTCTTCGAGACATTTCGCAATTCGTGATGCCTCGCGAGGACCCTACGGCTTCTAGATTTTGTTGCGCTGCAACAGGTCGCTAGGCCTCACGAATCCTGGTTACTCTGATATCTCTAAGTTCGTGTAATCCACAGCCACAGCTTTCTTGAGAACTTCATCCGTTGTAGATCCTTCAGAACTCCAGCTATTCTGCTCCTGGAAAACTACTAGTAACTGGATTCCTTTCCTACAGCGTCGAATGAACCTTTCAGAACTTCAGCTGTTCGGGATCTGTCTTCGGACTAGACTAAAACTCCCTCGGGTTCTCCCACTTCGTCTCCGCTTTGTATCCACTTCGCCTACATTATCTTGGTTCCGTTTGACGGAACCAAGGACGAGTGGCTGATTGTGCGTCTCCTTCACTGGAGTTTAATGGTTCTTCGCTCTGTTCCTTTCGCATCGACCTGCGTTGCTCCTTAACGCTCTACGTGGCTCTAGTACCACTCCCCAGTCCTTGCTGATATGGCTTCATCCGGTCCGTTGGCTGCATCAGGGAACAAGACCACTTTCGTTGCACCAACCACCAGCTCCATTCCTCCTACCACCAGCAACCATGCCTCCATTCCACGCTCTTCTTATCCACTCCACACATCCTCTTCGAGCTTCAGATCTCACGATTCCTCTCCCGCCGTATCCTCGTTAAGAGCATACTCGACGGACTTGGCCTCCAGGAACAGCGTGCTGCAGCGGGGAAACCGCAAAAACAATCGTCAGACACCGAAGGCTTCCCGGCGCTTCCACGAATCTTCCGCTTCCCGTCAGAGCTTCGTGCATTTCGAGTCGGCCAATAAGTCCGTGCGAGCAGCTGGGCGCCATGTCGCAGCCGCGGCGAGCGACGTCGCAGCCGTTGCTGCGAGCGTCGCAGAAGCGTCGCTGGACGAGCGGGTGGAGCTTGGAGCGCTGCAGGGCCGGGCGAGGGAGGAAGCGGAGGAAGTGCAAGCTGCCGTCTTGCAGGCCGCGCAGGAACTAGATGCTGTAGCGGCAGAGGCTGTAGCAGCAGAGGCAACGGCGCCTTCCGTGGGTTCAGAGGGAGAGGGAGAGAAGAGGGAAGCGAGGGGACAGGGGTTAGGCGGCGGGTCCGCGGATGGTAGGGCGCGGACGAAGCGGTTGTTGCAGTGGGCGCGGGAGCTCCATGGCGGAACCACCCCCGCGCCTACGCTGCGCTCGCGGGAGAATCGTGTCATGGGCTGTGTCGCACAGGTGTGGCTCCACGTGGAACTTGAGGAAGACACGTCATCATCTGACGGCACGGAACTCTCCCGCCTCAAACTCCGTCTGCAGGCCGATAGCGACTCGGATCTGACACGTGGCATTTGCCAGCTCCTCCTAGGGATCTTTACCGGCCGCAGCGTCAGCGCCGCGCTAGCGTTAGATTCTAACGGACCGGCAGTTAAAGCCCTCTCTGCCGCCCTAAAACCCGCCGCAGCCGCCACAGCCGCCGGCGCAGCTAAGGCCGCCCCCGCTGTACGCACATCCACCTTCGTAAGCCTCCTCCTCTCCATGCAAAAACGCGCGCGCGCCCTGGCGGCGGCGGCGCTCGGACGGACTCCGTCAGTGGCTCCGTTACCGTCAATCGTGATCGGCCGGGGCGGGACGATCACCGCCCGCGGGGATTTCGCGGTTACCCAGGCGCAGTACCTCCGTCCGAACGACGCGGCAGTCGCGGCGTTAGTTACGGAGCTATCTAGCAAGCGCATCGGCGTCGTGGCGCATTTCTACATGGACGCGGAAGTTCAGGGCGTGCTGGTCGCGGCGCGCAAATCCTGGCCGCACATCAAGATCTCGGATTCGCTGGTGATGGCGGACGGAGCGCTGAAGATGGCGCAGGAGGGGTGTGACTATATCGCGGTCCTGGGGGTGGATTTTATGGCGGAGAACGTGCGGTGCGTGCTTGAAAAGGGCGGCTACGCGCACGTGCCTGTCGTGCGAATGGCGGCGTCCCCCATCGGGTGCTCGTTGGCGGACGCGGCGCGGAGCGACGCTTATGATAGGTATCTTAAGGAGGCGTCGACGGTGCCTAAGTCGCTGCACGTGATCTATATCAACACGGCGCTGGATACTAAAGCCGTGGCGCATCATGCAGTGCCGACCATCTCGTGCACGTCGTCCAACGTGGTGCAGACCGTATTGCAGGTAAGCCAGTGTCACCGGTGTGCTGTCCGCCCAGGTGCGTGCCGACTGTTTTTTGTCCCAACCGGTTTGCAGGCTGTACACACAGGTGAACGCCCACCATCTCGTGCACGTCGTCCAACGTGGTGCAGACCGTTTTGCAGGTAAGTTGTTGGTGTTTGAAGGAGAACGATAGGTAACACAGGGAACTTTTCAAAACCACGTGAAGAGAAGTTAGTACTGAGGCGCCTCAAAATGAGAAGTTAGTACTGAAGTTATAACAGGAAATATAACGAGGAATATGGCACCTGCTTTAACCTTAATCTACAACTCTCCCTTCATCTCCTTCCGCCCCCCGACCCCCCCTTCCCCTTCTGTCATTGCCCAGTTGTTACTCACCTTGCTACTCTTTTTCCTTGTCTTCGTCTCCTCACCTTGTTACTCGTTTTAAAATTCCGGTGAAGTTCCAAATTTAAATCTTTAGTTAGGACCTTTCTTCTCTTTCCCGCCTGCCCCCCTCTTCTACCCCCCAAACCCCAAACACCCCCACCTCCCTGCGCCCCCACCCCGTTCCTACCTTTATTCTGTCTTTCCCATCGTCCTGGCACATGTTAAAACCACACCAGGCTTTTGCCCAAGTTCCGGACCTGACCCTGTGGTACGGACCAGACACGTACATGGGAGCAAACCTGGTCGAGATGCTTCGGCAGCTCTCCAACGTACCTGACGACGAGGTTCGGTTGCTTCACCCGGACCACACCCAAGCCTCGCTCCGCGCACTCCTGCCTCGGATAAGATACTTCCAGGAAGGTGCCTGCATTGTTCACGACATGTTCGGGCAGGAGGTTGTTTCGCGGCTCCGGGCAGCATATTCTGACGCTTTCCACACCGCACATTTCGAGGTGCCCGGAGAAATGTTTGCGCTGGCAATGGAGGCGCGTGCAAGGGGGCGCGGCACTGTTGGGTCAACGCAAAACATTTTGGATTTTGTAACTGCCCGAACGAGGGAGGCGTTGGAGAGAGGGTATGAAGGGGAGAGATTACAGTTTGTGTTGGGAACAGAGACTGGAATGGTTACCAGCATTGTGCAGGCGGTGCAGGACGAATTGGCGAAGGTTGAGAGCGGTTCGGATGGTGCCGCTGACGTGGAGGTAGAGATAGTTTTTCCTGTAGACAGCTCGGCGGTTGCTTCTACTAAGGAGGATGGGGGAAACAACGGCAGCAGCAGCAGCAGTAGCAGTGGGAGCAATGGCAACGCAGTAGGGTCGGTAGCAGCAGCGATGTTGCCAGTGGTGCCAGGCGTTAAGGGGGGAGAGGGGTGCTCTGTCACTGGTGGCTGTGCGTCGTGCCCATACATGAAGGTGAGAGAAAACATTAAAAATATATGATACCAGGCGTTGAGGGGAGAGAAGGGTGCCCTGTCAACGGGGACTACGCCTCCTGCCCTTGCATGAAGGTGAGCCGACTCAAAAGAGGGGGGTTGAGGAGCTGGTTGACACACGCACAGGAATGAGAGGAAGGGTGCTCTGTCACTGGGGGTTGCGCCTCGTGCCCTTACATGAAGGTGAGCCGACTCAAGGGGGTGGGGGGAATGGGGGTTAGGGGGGAAATGGGGGTTATCGAGGGGATGGGGGTTATGGTGGGGGGGGTGGGGGACACATCCACAGAAGTGGGAGATGAAGGGTGCTCTGTCACGGGGGGGTTTGTTTGAAGGCGAGTAATATGAAGGCGAGTAATATGAAGGTGAGTAATATGAAGGTGAGTAATATGAAGGTGAGTAATATGAAGGTGAGTAATATGAAGGTGAGTCGGCCTAAAAGAGGGGGGATGGGAAGAACACACATAGAGGAATGGGATGAGAAGGGTGCTACGCCACTTGGGGGGGCTGTGCCTTGGGCTTGCACATGAATGTGAGAGGCGTGAGGGGGATGGGTGGAATGGGAGGAGTGGGAGAAACACACACATGAACTCCCTCTATGACCCCCTATTGCCCTTGTCTTTCCTCCCTCAGATGAACTCCCTAGACGCCCTCATGTCTGTCTGCCACATGCTGGGTCAAGAAGATGCTCTCACGCACTTCATCCACATGTGTAGCTCTCACTCAATCCCTCTTCAAGATTCCCAATCTCCTTGTCTCTTCTCCCTCAGATGAACTCCCTAGATGCCCTCATGTCGGTCTGCCACATGCTGGGTCAAGCTGATGCTCTTCATTCCCATGTGTGGTTCTCACTCGATCAACCTTGATGTCTCCAATCCGCTGCCTCTTCTCCCTCAGATAAACTCCCTAGACGCCCTCATGTCGGTCTGCCACATGCTGGGTCAAGCTGATGCTCTTCATTCCCATGTGTGGTTCTCACTCGATCAACCTTGATGTCTCCAATCCGCTGCCTCTTCTCCCTCAGATGAACTCCCTAGACGCCCTCATGTCGGTCTGCCACATGCTGGGTCAAGCTGATGCTCTTCATTCCCATGTGTGGTTCTCACTCGATCAACCTTGATGTCTCCAATCCGCTGCCTCTTCTCCCTCAGATGAACTCCCTAGACGCCCTCATGTCGGTCTGCCACATGATGGGTCAAGAGGATGCTCTCACACGCCTGGCGCCGTACGAGCCTGACAAGTTTGCCGAGCCTCTTGGTCCGGGCACAGTGGCGGACCTGGGCTACTTGCCGATCCTCCACATGAGGCATTTCCAGGTATGGAATCGTGCCACGGTTTTTGTCACAACATTCCATTCCATGGCACCATGTCCATGGCACCATGTCTCGGACTGACATTTCAGGCGCTTACGTACCTGTTAATAGCATGTCATGCTATCCCCATCAAATTTGACGTGCCTTGGAAGGCGTTTCCAGGTATGGTGCTGTGGCTCCATGAGTCCTTCACATGTCATGCATGGCATTCCCTAGGCATGACATGGTCATGCCTCTCTATGTCTCTCTATTACATGGCACTTCCCACTTCTCTTTCCCCCTCTCCCGTCTGTCCCTCGTCGCCCCCAACCCACCTTATTCCACCCCAGTCCCCCTTCCTGATCCGTCTGCCCCTCCCCCTGCTCTTACCAACGATTCCTGATTCCCCTTCTCGCTCTCCCATCTGTTTCTTGTCGTCCCCACCCCACCCCACCCCACCCCCTTGACCCGGTTGTGGGCCTGACATTTAATTCTTGCCTGAGGCTTTCTATGATTTTTCCGGCCCAACCAATCCCACCCAACCTCGCCCCACCCCCCTGACACGTCTGTGGAAACTGATTGGTTGAAGAGGTGGTGGCGGACATATTGACAAGGAGCCGGACTCAGCATGATCCCATCTAATGATTAAACAAAGAACCCTGTCCCTGACATTCATACCTGATTTCTGCTATCATTGTTCCACCCCCACCCCACCCCCGTGATCTGTGAGCAGAAAACGGGGCAGTTGTCTGAAGAGCTTGTTGCCGACATTTTGACAAGGAACCAGAGTCAGCAGCATGAGCCCACGCAATGATTTCATGCAACGTTTCTGGGATGATTAAATGAATCAACTCTGTGTTGACTTGACATCCATGTCCAAATCATGCTATTCATTCTGCTAAACCTGCCTGAATTCCTACCCTGCTGGTGTTCGTGCTTAGCAGTGGCTGGTACTACGGTAGCGTATGTGTTGTGCTTGTGTGGGGATTGAAGGCACAGAAGGTTTAGGACAAGTGCAGTACAGTGTGTTGGCTGTTTTGGGGAGGAAGTGTCGACAGGAGCTGTCTTGCAACTCGTACTACATCAATGCTTCCTCGTAAAGTGCGCCTTTAATATGTTTCTTCTCTTGGGCGTGCTCTACTAGTCGAGAAGAGTGTAGAAGGGCCCAGATTCCAGGAACATGGTAGTATACTGAATAACCCAAGCAGAGAAGGCATCCCCCCCATCCCAATGCCACTCGAGCAGACCACGTTCAAGCACCTGCAGCACCCACGCACACCTGCTAGAATCCATAGTCTGTCAATTTGCTGAACGTAGTGCTACTAGCTGACATTTTACACATCTACCTGTCTCTCCAAGGTCTCTCATTTCTCTCAAGCTGTCTGCTTGCAATTTGATGGAATGTGGGTTTTGCCATTTTGTTTACTGTAGTTAGTCATGATCTGCAAAAATCATATTTCACGCGTATGATTGGTTGGAACTCGCTCGTGGCAACAGCGTCAGCAAGGGGTACTGCCTAGTGCCTGGAAACTTCGTTCGCGGTAAACAATCGCGATTTCGCTGCGCTGCGCCACACGCGCAATGCGTAACAAGCGCATCCTGTTCCGCTGCGCCGGCCCGCATGGAATCTCGACCAGATGAGAGCGAATGGAGCCTGACTGACACGTCATTCCCTGTGGGAAGCCAGCAACCAATGATATTAGCAACAGTGTCCCGATTTATTGGGCCGCAAGCTGTGCCCTGACTCCCTGAATTCGTGGGCCCCCGGCTGCCTGGATTTTCCCTCGGACTTGCAAAGCGGGAATTGGTGGTGTTCCGCCAATCAGAGGAAGCACATCGTAATGTCACCTGCGCAAACTCCGCAGACCCTTGCCCCCCCAGCCCAGCCCAGAAGCAATGTACAGTGCATATTCCGAGCCTCATCCAGGCCGAATTTTGTGACTTCATGTTCGGGCAACATAGCCGCTAATCTCAAGAAGCCGTCCAATCCCGGCGTCCCAAAACGTTTGGGCATCTCCGAAGCAAATTTCGTAGAGAGCTTCGACTTACTCCGAACCTCAGCCTCACTACTCCCGCGCTTGGAAGTTCCAAATCAATCTTGCTTCCAATAAGATTCTGACAAGTACTATGGGCTTGTGGCAACAACTGCTCCGAGTCCAAACCTGTACGTAATTTGGGGAAAATATGTCACAAGTAACCAACTTGGGACTCGATAACGTGAATGGAAAAAAGAAAACGCGTACGGTCACTGTATCGGGTTTCCTGACGGGTTTGGTAAGCGGGGTCACGGATTCAGTCACTAACAACAGGTAAAAAATCACGCGAATGGTCACACATGTAACTCCCGCCAAAAAAACTTGAAACTCAACAAAATTCCCGCTCGCCCCCAACCAATCTGCGAACTTGTAAAAAAACTAAAACCCAATCGGAATCGGATGCGGTTTGGGAACGGATCAACCCTAAACACCTGGCGAAATGGTGTTTAGGGTTGATACATCCGAAAATGCATCCAGGTACTTTTTGGGTTTCATTTCGCTTTGGCGGGAGTTTCATATGTGACCATTCGCGTTTTTTTATACCTGTTGATTGTGACTGATTCCGTGAAACTCTTTATCAGTCGCGTGAAAACACCCTTTGCAGTGACCGTACCCTTTATTTTTTTACCAAAAAAGTTTTCGTGTCCCATGATGGTTACAAATGGCATATTTTCCCCGTACCGTGTTGGCGGTGGTGCCCCCACAAGGCTGCTCAACTTCCCCCTTTCCCTGCTCCCCCCTTCCTCCCCACATTCCCCACCATTTCCCCCTTATCCTTCCACAGAAACTTGATCAGCCACTTGCCCTCCAATCCCAAGACTCTCAGGTTTCCCTGACCATTCACATTTGTGTGTTTTTTGGGACTTCCTTTCCCATTGTTTCTCCTTTTTAGATCCCTGATCTGGAGTATCTGGAAGCTCTTCCTTGAGGTGTTGTGAAGGTCAGGCCGATATGGATCTGCTAATGCTCGTAACGAGCGTTTTCCGCGCTGACGTCTCGATATCCCCGGCTCAGGCGACGTGGTTCGGGGTAGCTGCTGCAGTGGCCGTTGTTGGCGCAACGACATTCGTGCTCTCATCCATCGGCAAGCCCGAGGTCAAAGGCAAGTCCACCACAGAGCTTAGCGGAGGAAAGCTGAAGAAGGATGAAGTGGCTAACGGCTGGACTAACTACGACAGATATTTCCAACAAAATCCTGGCGAAGGAGTCACCGAGAAGAGCCAAGCTCCTCAATTTGTGGACACATTCTACAATCTTGTGACCGACATTTACGAATGGGGTTGGGGTCAGAGCTTCCATTTCTCGCCTGCGCTTCTCCCCGGGAAGTCCGATAGGGAAGCGACGATCGCTCACGAGGAGTACATTGCGACTATCTTGAAGCTTAAGCCCGGAATGAAGGTTCTGGACGCGGGATGCGGAGTCGGAGGACCAATGCGGGCGATCGCGGCCAAGTCCGGAGCGAATGTTACCGGGATTACTATTAACGAGTATCAAGTGGAGCGTGCTCAGCAGCACAATGCCCGGAGAGGGTTGGACAATCTTTGCACGGTCGTTCAAGGGAACTTTCTTGAACTGCCGTTTGAGGATAACAGCTTCGATGCTGCTTATTCTATCGAGGCTACCTGCCATGCTCCCAAGCTGACGGACGTCTACGGCGAGATCTTCCGCGTGCTGAAGCCTGGCCAGCTGTACGCGACGTACGAGTGGGTGAAAACGCACAAGTACGACCCGAACAACAAGGAGCACGTTCAGATTATTGACGACATCTGCTACGGAAACGCGCTCCCGGAGCTTCGGTCTTACAAGGAGATCGTGGAAGCTGCTGAAGCGGTGGGGTTCGAGGTTATCGACAATAGGGATGTCGCTGCTCCCCCTGCTCTCCCCTGGTGGACTCGCCTCAAGATCGGCCGTATCGCGTATGCTCGCAATCACCTGCTCGTGAAGATCGTGTCAATGCTCAACATTGCGCCCAAGGGATTGGTGGACGTTCACAACATGCTGACGACGGTCGCCGTGCACCTGACACGTGGAGGCGAGACCGGGATCTTCACTCCCGCGCACCTGCTGCTGCTTCGGAAACCCGCTGCGCCGGCCTCCACTTAAATGTACGTATACTTGCGACCCCCTAAATTTTCTATACTGAAGCTTACTTCAAGTTGTCAGATCTGGGATCTGGCTTGAAATTTGGAGCATGGAATGATGATTATTCTTATTTCTGTCTTGCTCCGTTCCCCCCTTTTCCCTCCTCCCCTCTTCCCCTCCCCGATCAACTCCAGTATGATTCTATGTCACCTACCTGAGTTCAACTATGAATAACCCGATGACCATCGCATGCATTCGCGGGTGCTGTCGCGGGTGTTTAGTTCGCGCGTGGGACGGTGTGTGACCCTGTTTTACCTTTTTTTTGTGTGTGTGCTCTTTAACGTATTCCACTCGCTCCCGCGTACTCCGTAGCGTAGCATGCGTGCGAGTGTGAAAGAACTATGAAGAGGGACCTGTTTGTGGGGCCTAACCCCGCTGATCCGTAGACGTTCTTCGTCGTCAGCTTGTGTGTCCTTCGGTTTGTGTTATTTAACGAGCAAAGCCGAATTCTAGGCGAACGACTCTAAACAACCTGCAACATTTATGCCTGTCGTTTTGAAAGTTCCCAGTTAAGAAATCGAACAGTACAACCCCATTCCTCGCTTCCACGGCCTCGAACTGCCGCCTGTCTCTTCATCTCCTTGCATTCCGTGCAAATCGACCCGCATTCCCTGTCCATTGGCCTCGACGCACCACATTCCTTTCCGCCGATAGTCCTCGCGTCTCCTCTCCCCCTTTTTATCCCTTACTCGTCCCCACTGGCGCTGTCTCCAACCTCCCGTCCTCCACTTCCTCCGTTCTTCCTGTCTTATACCCAAAACCCCGAGCCCTTCCCCACTTCTCCTTTTCCCGCACCATTTCCCTACCCTTCCCCCTTTACCGATCCCTCACCGCGCCGTTTCTCAATCTCTCTGCCCTCTTCAACTTCCCCCTCCCCTCGTTAACCCCACCTCCCTCCTCCACCTCTCCTATTCCTTTTTCCACTCCTCCACCCCTCCTCTTCCCTCTTCCACCCCTTATCCCCTCCCCCTGTCATTCTGGGTGGCTTTCCTTTACTTTCCGCTTCTATCCTGCTGCCCACCCACTCTCTCCCCCACTCTCTCCGCTCCTTTCCTCTCATCTCGTTCTTCATTCCCTCTTCTCGTCCGTCCCTCCCTCTCGTTATCTTCCTTTGCTTTACACTCTTCTCCCTTCCTGCCTCCTTTATTCACTCGTCACTCAAATTCTCTTTGTGCATTCGCTTGTTGTTTGTTCCTCTTCTGTCCCCCTCGCTTCCCCCCCCTCCCGCCATTCCATCCTCCCCTCCCTCCATCTGTCCTGCCTCCCTCCCGGCCTCCCTCCCTCTCTCCGTCTCTCAATCCTTCCCTCTGGCTCTGTCTTTCTCTCTCCGTCACTCACTCTCTCCCTCTCTCTCCCTCCAAGTCTTTCTCCCTTCCTCCCTTCCCCATTCGTCTCGCTGCTCTGTCTGTCCATGCAACTATCGAATCTTCATTCACTCCGCACTTATCTCTCTCCCTCTCTCCCTACATCCTTTCCCCCGTGCATCCATCTCCCTATCCCTTCCCCCCAACACTTCGCCCTACACCTCTGTTGAGTACCTCCTTCCTGTCCTCCCTCCGTACATGCTTCTCCCTCCCAACCACCCACAACTCTCGCTCCTATCCTTACAGCCTCACCCTTCTGGACATCCCACTCCTGCTCCTCTACTTTCGGCCTCCTCTCCTTCCCACCTGCCTACCCACACAATGGATCTGCCACTCCTTCCCAATCTCTACTACCTAAGCACCCGTACACATCATGCATGTGTGCCTATTGTCGCTCACATGCAGAACAGCGTGTACTCGCTAGACGGTAGCTGTGTCCAGCGTTGACCAGAAGTCACTCTCAAGATGGGGTGTATTGGAATTGCCAGCGTTGAAACCCTTCCTCTAGCTTTAAACTACATCCATCCACAGTTCGAAAACAGAAAGATGCTTTTCACAATGCACACGTTGAACACATGGATAGAAAACACTGCATTCACGCGATATACCTCTTACACAGAGTGGAGTGCTGTTATATCAAACATTTTTTAGCAGGGTAAGAACAGTAAGATGGCATTTCAGGCTTCCGAACAAGTGACCTCCGAACAAGTTCGGTCGTCGCACACTCTCAAACTTGTTCGAAGGTGTAAAATTACGGCTTCGAACAAGCACAGGATCTCAATGTCGGTGCTCTTCGCGCACATTTTGTGATGACCTGACACGTCAGAAAACTGACGGCCTGATTGATCCACACTGCCCTAAAAAACCAATTGTTGGCATTAAGCCAGAATTTCGGAAAACACCCTAATGTATCGCGACATTTTTTGGGTTTCTCAATATCATTCTTTTCTCGGATCTTGGTGCCAATTTTTTTTCCCGTGTGCCAGTTTTTCACAGTGAGGTGAAAGTTGTTCGACCATCAGGTCGGAGTTGTTCGAAGGTCAGTGTCGCAGAAAGTCGGGAAAAATCGCAAAGATTCGTATAGCAGTCGCGTGTTCGGAAGTGTTGTTTGTTCGGAAGCCTGGAATGCCATCTAAAACGGCCATAGGATCCAATTCCAACAATCCAGTGCTAGTCATTGTGAGGTAATACCCTGCACATGCGGTTTTTTTTAGAACCTGGAGACACCTTCACAAATCTCCACGATCAATAATCAGCATTGTAGCAAAAGATTTGGCAGCATTAGTATATACATATCGTTGGCATGATTCACACTGGGCAGGGCTGTGTAGGAAGCTCTACCAATCCACTGTTCTGGCGTTTGCACCACTGTGAAGCTTCTGTTTATGCTCTGCCTCCAGTTCCTCCTGCAATACAGGGGATGGTGCAGACAGGGTCAAATGCCACAACAATTGTGAACAAGTAGCAAAAGCACAGGTGTTGAACTATATCAAATGTCATACAAATACAAATAAGAAAGTCATCAAATAGTTTACACATCAAATTCGTTACCTTGGAGGTAGCAAGTAGTGGTCGCAGGAAGGTGGTTCGAAAGATCTCCATGAAAGGAGCGAGCGACGTCCCCTCCATGCCTATGGTGGAGCGCGCGCGCACGAGAGAGACAGAGAGAGAGAGAGAGAGAGAGAGAGAGAGAGAGAGAGAGAGAGAGAGAGAGAGAGAGAGAGAGAGAGAGAGAGAGAGAGAGAGAGAGAGAGAGAGAGAGAGAGAGAGAGAGAGAGAGAGAGAGAGAGAGAGAGAGAGAGAGAGAGAGAGAGAGAGAGAGAGAGAGAGAGAGAGAGAGAGAGATAGAGAGAGAAGAGCCAAAGCATTGCACAAGATATGGAAGCAAAGCAATATGCAGAAAAGATTATTACTCAGCTAAAAGCGCACGTACTGAACAGCATGTGCACGGAAGAGTGGATGAGACGGAATGAAGAACAGACGGAACGGGCGGAGGCAAGGGAGGCGAGGAGGAATGGAGGCGAGAAAGCATACCTGTGGCTGCAGCTGCAGCGCCATCTGATGCCCTATGAGGCGCATTAATCTCACGCACCAACTGAGGGGAGGGAAAGGACGAGAGAAAAGGAAAAAGGGCGAGGGACGAGGCAGAATCGAGGATAAGGAAGCAGGTTGAGAGTCTCCTGTGGCAGGTGTCACCAGATTCCCGTCTGTGGGTGCAGCTGCAGTGTCATCTGATACCTGATGAGCTGTATAACTCATGCACCAACCGAGGGAACGAAGGGGTGAGGGGGAGAGAGGAAAACGAGAAAGGGTTTGAAGAGGAAGGGACAAAAATGAGCCTCATAGGCCGCATTGGCTATTAGGAAGGGTGTCGGGATTATCCAGATGCTGCCTTATTATCGGTTTGTGCTCTGCTGAGTTGACACTAACCAAAGTTGACGCAAGGGAAAGGCAGATGGGAAGATGTGAAGAGTAGCAGATAGGACTCGATTGAGTGTGCGTTGTAGAGGGGGAGTGGTAGGAGGGGTATATATACGAGATCACCTGATTGAGTGTGGGGGCTTGACTTGGCTCAAAGTCAGCACAGTTGGCCGGGTCGATGGGCACACACACAGCCCCTGAGATTCAACACATAACATGGGATAAGTCGATAAGTGAGCGAGGAAAGTGAGCGTGCAGGATGAGTGGAAAAACGAGTGAGGATTGTGAATGACTAATTTGAGTGAGAAAGCGGGTGAGTAATGACATTTGAGTCAACTAGAAGCGGGCACCAGAGCAGAGAGAGAGAGAGTATGAGAGGGGCTCACCTGTCTTTGGGTGCACACAGAATGGTGCTTTCAGCAAGTGATTCATGTGCTTCGACACCTGTGAAGAAGAGCAAGTAAACAGGGGGGCAGCAATACAGACAGAAAGAGGGCGTGGCAGCAAAGCAGAGAGAGAGAGAAACGGGTTTAGCATTCTCCGTGCATGCCTGTATGACCTTGTATCACTCAATGAAAGGGCCATTAGAGAAACGGGTTGATAGTAAGTGCCTGGGCACAATATTTTAGGCGTTATTCATGTTAGGCTATAATTTCACAAGTTAAATAATGGGCCGAACTGAAGAGCAATACATTCACCTGTTAATTGACGTCAGGCATCTGGGCATCTGAAGGGCAGATGCCTGACCTCGATTAACAGGTGAATGTCTTGCCCTTCGAAAGGCACACAACCAGGGTATCATTTGACCAATGCCACACACCCACCCACCTCCAGATCAAGACGAGGGTACGTGAAGGCAAACACTATCTCCTCCACAGCCTTCCTTAGGGACGCATTCTGTGAGCAGGGAGGAGAAAAGACAACGAGCAAGCAGCAGGGATCGTTTTAAAGCACTACAATTAAAAGCGAGGGTACGTGAAGGCAAATTCCACTGCCTTCCTTAGGGACACATACTGCAAAATGGAGGGAAGGAAGAAAAGTAAAATGGGGCACACAGCAGGTGTTGTTTTAAAGCACCTAAACAACACATCCATAAGCGAGAGTGCATGCAGGAAAACACAATTTCCCCCACATGGGAAGCTGTTGCGTACATTCTTGGCTTCTCACTGTTGCGTA